CTTTTAACTGATAATGACACACAAAAAACTTCAAAACAAAAAAGGGCCAGCAAGCATGTCTTTGAGAGGAACAGGCAGTCTCAGAAATCTGCCTCCAATTTCAGCACCCTTCAAGACATTCCAAGCAATAGGTTGGGTGGTAGCAGCTACCAAAAGGCAGAAGCAGTAGGTTGTGGGGACTTGTATGTTTAAGAAAGTAGTTATGAGGAGTGCATGTTAAAAATAATTTCTCTGGCTAGGTGCGGTGGCTTATGCCTATAATCCTAGCACTCTGGGAGGCCGAGGCAGGAGGACCTCTTGAGCTCAGGAGCTCGAGACCAGCCTGAGCCCTGAGCAAGAGCGAGACCCCGTCTCTACTAAAAATAGAAAAAAATAGCTGGATGTGGTGGCACACATCTATAGTCCCAGCTACATGGGAGGCTGAGGCAGGAGGATTGCTGGAGCCCAGGAGTCTGAGGTTGCAGTGAGCTGGGATGATGCCACTGCACTCTACCCAAGGCAACAGAGTGAGACTCTGTTGCAAAAATAATAATAATCTCTCTAGGCCTCTATTACACTGGCAAACATTAGAAAGCTGGGTAGTGCAGGGGCTGAGTGAGGCAATGGGTCTACAGGCGCTCTTGTGTGGTGCTGGCAGGAAGGCAGCTGGTGCAGCCATTCTGGCGAGTAAGCAGCGCTGTTATTTGTGGTGAGCGGAGCAGGGTACAGTCTGGGACAGTGTCACTGGGAAGTGGGTAGGCAAAAATGGGGTGATACATTTTGGTCTTTTATCATGGAGCAGTGAGAAGCAATGGATCAGATGTACCTATAGTGCCATGATGGATCTTAAAAAACCATACTAAGTGAAAGAAGATACAAAATGAAATATATAATAATGCCATTTGTGAACTTTAAAATACACGTATACAGAACAGCAAAACACATTTTACAAGAATGCATACAGGCCAGGCAAGGTTGCTCATGCCTATAATCCCAGCACTTTGGGAGGCCAAGGCAGGAGGATTGCTTGAGGCCAGAAATTTTTTGCTTTTTGGGTTTTTTTGAGACAGGGTCTCACTCTGTCACCCAGGCTAGAGTGCAGTGACATCATCATAACTCACTGCAACCTCAAACTCCTGGGCTCAAGCACTCCTCCTGAGGAGGCAGGACTACAGGTGCATGCCAGCATGCCTGGCTAATTTTTCTATTTTTTGTAGAGATGGGGTCTTGCTATGTTGCTCAGGCTGGTCTTGAACTTCTAGCCTCAAGCAATCGTTCCCCCTCAGCCTCCCAAAGTGCTAAGATTACAGGCATGAGCCACCATGCCCAGTGGAGGCCAGGAGTTTGTGACCAGCCTGGGCAACAGAGTAAGATCCTGTCTCTGAAACAAAAAAAAAAATGCATATAAACAAAAAGATACACATTAAATACGTTAGAATCATTGGCAAAGTAGGGGGAGGAGGATATGTGGAAATACGCATCTACAAGAAAGAGAAAAAAAGTAACTCCAAAGAATTCGGAGGGTGGACACTGGTGTCAGGGTGTTCTCTAATGGAAAAACTCTCATGAGTGGGGTCCCCATTCCCCTCAAAGGTGTGCTGGTAAATGTTTAACAACTTCTTCTCTGAGGGGAAAATGCAATGTGTAGTGTTTGCTGATTTCCAAGGTAAAAATACTCCCCTTGCTGATTTCAAGCTACCTACATGACTCACTGAAAGCAGCCTGGGAGATGCACACATTTGCTCTGGGTCTACTCACCAGAACTTATCACTTCCTTCACTGCTCCCTTGAGAGCTTTGGGAAGTTGCTGACTGACAATCCTGTGACAGTAACTTTTTGAAAGCCAAAATACATATGACCAAGATAAGGCAGAATGTGAGTAGAGTATCCTTTTACTTGCCTCACACACATTGTACACCCTTTTCAAAGTTCATGGAACATACATCACTACCCCAATTGAAATGTTTTCTTCAAGTTTCTTGAAAAATAGTAGTTATGTTTGTCTCCCCAATGATTATTGCCCATATAAACCCTGACTTAAGAATTATTGCCCAAATGTCTATTTTTCTCCCCAAAATGCTAAAAAGATAATCAAACTATTGCCTATCCATCTATGTAATTTTCCAAGAAAGCTAGTAAATGCTATTTGGCGGGGAAATGCAATTAGCATCATGTTTCCTAGAGGAAAGATATTTAATATTTCTTTTCAAAGGATTACCATTACTGCTAAAAGGGCTGGATAGGCCTCTTCCGAAAGTTATATCTTTAAATTGTTCATCCTTTTAAAATTGCAAACATTTTCAGACTTCCCTGCGAAAGAACTATATACTAAAAAAAACCCAATTCTTCCTTGTCATCCTATTAGAACAGGCTTTCTCAATCTTAGCACTATTGATATTTTGAGTCAGATAATTCTTTGTTGTGGGGGCCATCCTGTACATTGTAGGATGTTCAGCCTCATCCCTGGTCTCTCTACCCACTAGCTTCCCACAGCGCCCCTCAGTCATGACAACCAAAAATATCTTCAGACAGTGCCTAATGTTCTGGAGAGGAGGGGGGCAAAATCACCCCCAGTTGGGAATCACTGCATTAGAAATTTTTCCTTTAATCTTTTCATTATGTTGATCACATTTTCACTGAGGAGGTCTTGCTAGGAGCACATTAAAAAACAGTTGTCATTTGGGCCAAGTGAGTAAGGTGCAAGAGTTCCATAAATCTTTATGTATTGTTTTTGTTTCTGTTTCATAAATATGTTCCAAGTATGGATGTCTATGAGAGATCAGTTTTTGTCATGGACTAAGACGAAACCAACATTCTCTGCCATCAGATGTCTTTTTCTTAGTTTGATTTTTAAAAAATAGAAGTTTTGACCCTTGGCAGAGTCAAATCCTGCCAAGCAGCTAAGTTGAGGTACTGATAACAACAGAGCTTCAAAAAGCCTCTCAAATGTCCCTTCCTGCTTTGTAGCTACTGTCAACTTGTCTTACCTCTTACAACACGCTTTAACGTTCTTTCTCCTTCAAGACACAAAGTAGAGCAATTGGTATCCTGATCTTCATTTGACCAGTGAGGAAACTGAGGCGCAGAGCGGTTAAGGTAAAACCATGACCAAAGTAACCCAACTTGCTAATGGCAGGATTGGGCCTGATAACCCAGGACCCCTGACATATCACTAGATCGTGCTGCCCTCACCAACCAGACCTTCTTAGGCTTTCTAGTCCCTTTCCAAAGAGAAGTCAAGGGAGGGCGACAGAGAAAGAGGAAACGGTGAGCGGAGGGGGGAGGGAGAAGAAAATGAGAAAAAGTATGGATACCTAATTTCCCAAATTCATAACTAACTCATGTAGAAATTAAACATGCTGTTGTTAATGATGACTCAGTAGAGCCAAATTAACAAGTGGTAAAATAGAAAAATTCCCTGTTACACTGCATGGTATATATTATTTCTTCCTGAGAGTTTCAGCTTTAAAATAAAAATCAGTTTTCCTGAGGCTTCTGAAAAATGAGCTGGTGAAAGACTTTCGGACTCATGGGCCCAAGCATCCCACTGCTTTGGTCTACAGAAGTTTCTCTTCATGGCAGTTAACGATTCTCAGGAATTCCTAGAGGACAAATAAAACAGACCAGAAACAGCCAGTCTTTTTGACATGACACAATGTAACAAGTCTCCTAGTGGAGCCAACCCTTCCAAGTGCTAAGAAACAGCTCCTGGGGGTCTACAGACCAACTTATTTATGCACATGCCCTTTTCTTAGATGATGTATACTATGTGTGTGCCCCCAAACTAGTTTTTTTAAGGCTTTGGTCCCTTTTATAACACTTTCTTGAGAATTAGAATAATTGGTTTATTTCTCTTCATTGATAAAAATCTATGTATTACCCTAAACCAGGGGTCATCAAACTTTTTCTGTGAAGTATCAGATGGTAATTACTTTAGGCTTTGTGGGCCACAAAAGGTCTCTGTTGTATATTCTTTATTTTTCTAAACAACCCTTTAAAAATGTAAAAACCATTCTTAGCTTTAGGGCCATACAAAACAAGCCTCTGGCTGCCTTAGCTTATCGACTCAGCTGTTTGGAATTAGTTGCAACGACTTTACTCATCCAGACTTCTGCAGACAAACTGAAGGGAACTAAGGCCAACAAGTTGGTCATTCAGAAGGGCAGCTGGAGGCCGGCGCGGTGGCTCACGCCTGTAATCCTAGCATTCCGGGAGGCCGAGGCGGGTGGATTGTTTGAGCTCAGGAGTTCGAAACCAGCCTGAGCAAGAGCGAGACCCCGTCTCTACTAAAAATAGAAAAGAAATGAATCGGACAACTAAAAATATATAGAAAAAATTAGCAGGGCATGGTGGTGCATGCCTGTAGTCCCAGCTACTCGGGAGACTGAGGCAGAAGGATCGCTTGAGCCCAGGAGTCTGAGGTGCTGTG